ACCAAAGGTTGTGATAATGGGTTGTGCGACTGTCAGTGCACTCGATAGATTACTCTATCAAAATTTTGTGTTCATGGGCTCTGCGAGTGTGATTTTTACATTTGATAGATGACTCTATCAAATAAGGAGTTGTCCCACTAAAAAATAAAAAAGTTCCTTTCCTTTGCCTCGTTGCCTCTAGGATAAGGATGAAATTTTCATTATCCAAGGAAAAAGAAAAAAGAAAAAAAAGTATGAATAAGAAAAAAGAAAAATAAAACTATAGTGTTAGCCATCAAATTGGACAAGCCATCAACACCCTCCATCATCCACCCTCGCGTCTCTTCTTCCACATTGAAGCTCCATTAGGCTCTTCACGAATCCGTCCAAATCCTTGCCCAACCTTCGTCTGTCGACCGTGTCGTCCGCCGCCTTGCTCAGTTTCTCCATCCCCAGCGTCGTCTCGTCGAGCGAGTCGGCCAACGCCCGGGCCAGCTCGTTGGGGTCGGGCACCGCGTTGTTCCAGGCCTCGCACTACTGGTCACGATGCCCAGTTGGTCCCCCAGCAGGTTCGCATCTGGGTACTGGTCTGCGCCTCACTCTCTCTGTGATTTGAAAATTAATCTTTCAATTCCAAGCACTGATGGAAAATTGCGTAAAAATTGCTAAGCAAATACTGCGGCAAACATATCCGACTCACAAAATCGAATCACGTGACCTCTTTTGTTTGATAAAGAATTGAAATGTAACGAGCCCTCTCAGCATTTTCTCGTGACTTGATTTGTTTATCTTGATTTGAAGCTTAGAATATCAGAAGAAGTTAGAATTTGTAATTTGAAGATTAACATTTTGTACAAGACTATATAAGGCCAAGAAATGTCGATTGTACGGTATCTGCATTTAACAACACTTTTCAATTTTACTTGCAATTTACTTTACCAATTATTTATTTGCTATCATTTATCTTTAGTTCGTAGTGTAGCCATACTGATTGTTTTCTTTCCAAATCGCCACAGAGCCCGATTCACTTCAAAAAACCAAAGATCTAACCTTTGGTAAAAGGTATTTTGTTGAAAACCATTTTCGGCGAAGCATCTTTTTGGCTCGCTTGGTGGGACCATTGTGGTTCGGTTTGAGGAAGTGCAAATGGCGAAAACGAGGAATCAAGAGCCCCGCAATGCCACTGGCGAGGAAAATCAATCCCCACAGCAAGGTAATGAGAGGCTTGACCGGTCGGAGTCGTCATCCACTGATGCAGTGGGTGATGACAACGATGGTGGGAATTTAGTGGATATTCCGCGGAATCTCACCGATGAATAGAGGAGATAATTGGAGCCAAACCCAGTGGCAACCATGAGAATGACGTTCGACGAGCAACAAAATAATTTGGCTAATCATGTGGCTGATCATCTTACTATAGTGCTCAAACCCATGATAGTCAACATGGTGAACGAACTCGCCTCTAGGCCGGGACCATCAAGTGAGTCATTTTCAATGCAAGGAAGTCAGGTGGCAATGGGGTATGTTCCTTTGACCTCTTCTGCTCAATTAAGTAATGTCGGTAATTTCGGCCAAGCAGTACCGCAACCAGTGGTAAGAATATTGCAAAGGCCTAAAGTTCTCGACGGCCATAACCAAAGTAATCCTAACTTGGTTAATCTTGCCAATATGGTCAATCAAAGTGGTCCAATTCCAAATAATTCCACTGGAAACAATGACGATGGAATGGCAAATCAAAACATAACTTTGCCGAACGTTGAAAACGAGAGGCCAGTTATACCGCCACCCAATGGTGACAATGTGAGACCATTCGGTATTGCTATGCCACCACCCGTGGGAGTAGTGAATCCACTGAACCCGTTGATTATCGGTGTAGCAATTCCACCAAACCTGGGGTACTTACTGTATCGGTCGCAGTCGCCAATGGACAATTTGGCACGGCCGCCTTCCTTGCCTAGGGGGCCAAATTGGTCGGGTCCAACAGATGCAAGACCCCAGAAGGAAAACTATTGGGAAAATTTTCTATGCTGTTTTGATAATGACAAAGATAATCAAAGGCCACTAATGTATGTATTGGCTAAGTAGTACTAGGTGATATAAACACAAGCCACAATGCATATGATATCATAAACAGCCAGGTGATTTTGATACGAGGAGTGGTCTACCACTGTCAAGAGTGTTATGCTAATATTAAGGGATCGCTGCTGATATCTTAAATGAACAAGATATTGGGCGTGGAGATGTCTACAAGTTAGAAGGATCTTTGGATAAGGTGAACATATGGAAGGATTATGATTGAGGGTGAACAAGTTGAGAAGAACGGGGATGTTCGTGAAGGCTTGGAATGACTAAAATCGGGTAAACAGTTGGATGGACCCTGATGATGGTAAACAAGCCTAAAACGAGGATGTTCGGTAAAGCTTGAAAGAACCATGAAGGTGAATAGCTTGTTATGGTCGCAATTGTTAATATGCTTGGAAGGACTAGGATTATTTGTTGTAGTAGATTGTTATCGGAGCAGCAGATTGTGGGCATGAGTAATTGCCGATATTAGAGAGGTGGCGGATGTGTGACATCCTCCTTCCAACTTTAATTTGGTGTCTAACAAATATCTTCAAGGTTTGGAATCTGGAAAAGAGCACCAGAGTTGATCATGAGCAGTTCTAACATTAATAAGCAAGAGACAATCTAACAAACGTACACTGACACTGTTTAGGGAAAGTACATTCTCCTTCCAACCTTAATCTGGTGTCCAACAATTATCTTCAAGGTTTGGAATCCAGAAAAGAGCACCGGAGTTGATCAGGAGCAGTTCTAGCATTAATGAGCAAGAGACAGTCTAACAAAAGTACACTGACTCTGTCTAGGGAAATTGCCAAAATGTCAAAGGGGCGTTGCCAATGTCAAGGAGCCATTCTGACGATTCTGAGCGACATTTTGCCGCTGGCAATGGTAGAACTAACGGCTACTTGAGGATTTCAATAAGGAACAGTCATCATAGGAATTGCTATATATTAAGTCCAAGAGAAGTAATTGTGTTAGGTGGAAACGAATTAACTAATGTAGTACTTTGAGTGTTCTTCTTTGCTATTATTTTGCTGTTAGTAGCCATATATTGTTGATGTCAATGTTTGGGTCATGCTAATGTTTGTAATAAGTGATAAGAGCACATGTACAAGAGTGATAGCAATACGCAAGTTCTGATAGTGTGATCTATTAGAAAGGCGGTACTTGTTGATTATAACTTATCTTAAAGATTACTTGTGGATTCCAACCTTGTTGTGGCTTTTAGTTTAGAGAGTGAACATAGGTTTGGAGATAAAGCCGAACCACTATATATCTTTTTGTAATACTATCTCTTCACTATTAGTAACACATGTTTAATATCATCACCATATGTTCAACAGCAGCATGCGCACCTAATTTCTATATATAGTTTCTCCTACTGTTTGAAGTTGAACTCGTTATATTCTGCAAATATTTTTTCATAGCTCTCAAACAACCTTTTTACTCCCATCTAAGTTATATTGTTAGCCCCAATTACAATGTATAATTGAGCAAGCCGTATGAATAGTGATGCAGCGTATGGGCCTTGATGGAGGAGTTCCTAGGCCCATCTATCGCCAACCATATCTCGATTGGGTTGACATGATTCAATACCCGAGAGGCTTCAAATATCATACTTTAGTTTGTTCACTGGACAAGATGACTAGTCTACAGTGGAACATATTAGTAAGTTTACAGCCCAATGTGGTGATGCAAGGGACGATGGGTGTATGAAATTGAGATTGTTTCCTTTATCATTATAAAAAACAGCCTTTATGTGATATGCTGGTCTACCAGCTAATTCTGTTCAGAATTGGGATGAGATGGAAAACAGATTTCATGCCTAGTTTTATAGGTTGGTACCTGAAGTGACAATAGTAGATTTGGCCAGTGTTAGACAATATAACAACGAAACGGTAGACCAATACATTGCTCGATTCAAGAAATTGAGGAATTGGTGTATGGTTTCCCTCACCGAGAAACAAATCACGGACCTAGCAAAAAGTGGCTTGAAATTCGCCTTGAGAGAGCGACTTGAAGGCCAGAAGTTTACAGATTCATTCTCATTATTGACTAGTTGGTGAAATATGAAAATCTTTGATTGAAAAGGATAAGAAGCCATATGAAGACTATAAACAGAATATGACACTACTTGATCGTGAGGATAGTTCAGATGAGGATATCGACCAGGATGAAGCCATCAAGATCACTGAGGCCAAAATGATGCTCGACAAGCCTTACGTTTGTCAAGCTTTGAAACATGGCCCGAGTTAAGGAAACTGTTATGGCTAGGACAAAAGATACACAGAGCTATTCTTTTGATATGACAAAGTTAGATGAAATATTTGATCTCTTTTTGGCCGATGGTTTAATAAAATTGACAAAGGGACAAACCATCCCGAGTAAAGAAGAGTCGGTCAACAAAAGATATTGTAAGTGGCACCACTCAACCTTCCTTTCTTGCCGTCTTCGCATTGACTTACTCAAAATCTAACTCCAATCTATGCTACCGTTTTAACACTCAGATACATATATGTAGAATTAGGACCATCACTCTCTTGCCTATATACATATTACACATCAGATCACCTGCAAAATATCTCAACTTTCGTTTCTTGCCGTCTTCGCATTTACTTACTCAAAATATAATTCCAATCTTAGCTACCGTTTTAATACTCATATAAATGTGTGTAGAAACAAGACCAACACTCTCTTGCCCATATACATATTATACACTAGATTACATTCCTTAATCCTGCAAAATATCTCAACCTTCCTTTCTCACCGTCTTCGCATTGACTTACTCAAAATCTAACTTACCGTTTTAATACTCGGATAAATATTTGTAGAAACAGGACCATCACTCTCTTGCCCATATACATATTATGCCAGATCACATTCCTTAATACTGCAAAATATCTCAACCTTCTTTTCTCACCGTCACTGAACTTCTATATAAATTCCCCCCGTCGAGACTCCTCCTCACTTAGCTCTGCCATCATGGGGAGAATTGCACGCGATCTGGCTCTCTTGACGATCCTATTGCTCATGGCGTCGGGTAAGTCTCTCTCTCGGCACCCTCGCAAATCACATATTTATGTGCACGTTCGCGACGAGTAATGATACAAATTTTTTTTTTTGGGGGTGGCTTTGCAGGGACATCAAGCGTACATGGAAGTGGAAGCGTGCCTCTTGAGGAAGCTCCCTTGAGCCCTCCCCGTTGCACCGAGCTCAAAGACTGCACGTGGCACTGCTTTCGATTTGGGTGTATTAACAAAGGTTGTGTTGATGGGTTATGCAAGTGTCGGTGCACGTGATAGATTATTAGATGCCTTGAGATTTGTCGTATAATCATGGTGAAGATGTATGCAATAATTGATTTATGTAATGTTATGGAGCCGGAAAGTGACATTGATTTCATAATCGATATGGTTTATTGCTCCTAAGAGCGGCATTTCAAGAATCCATGTCGATGAAATCCGATTTGCGATTGTTTCGTTGGAATTTCTTTCGCAACGAAATATCTTCAATCAAAAGTCATTATCATACGGTTGTTCTCTCAAACATTCATGTCAATTGCCTCACAATTTTGGATAGTGTGGTGGTCTTGAGCACGTTTCGTACGCCGATACTCCTCATTTTTGTCAGTTGATCCATCGGTTAAATTGTCCCATCCCCCGGTGGCCTTGAACTTCTCAACTCTCTCTCAACGCTTCTCATGTATTTAACGAATTGTACACTGTCCTTCACCATAAGCACATTCATTGATAATTACTAGTCCTTCGTCATTGTACGTCGACAACTGATTTACTGTATCTATTAGCGTGCGTCGGCATTGCAAATCAATATTGATGTGGCCGTCGACAACGTGTCACATGCATAGCAATGTCCGCACACTAGTCATGCGTTAGTCACGTGGTCGCTTGTGCTTACACATTAGTCACGTGTTCATCTATGTTGATGGCTTGATCATTTTTTGGTACATACAAATGCCCCCTATTAAAACGATTAAAAAAGATTTTAATTCTTTTAAAGTGATACATTTAATGTACGCACTCTCTTTTCGCAGACAGTATGAGGACGTGCATTGTTCTTCCAACGCTTCATACTCTACGCACAGTCAGCCAACTCATAATGTCCTGTGGTGCTCTGATACGTTGCTTCGACCGACCTTTCCTGCGAATCGTCGTGAATCTTCATCATTATGGATCATATTTTTTCGAATTGCCATCTTCTGAATCGCTATCCATTCCAAGAAATTATATATTTGGATAAAAATCTGATTTTTATACTTCGCTACAGACGTCATCGACTCAGATGAGGCTGGTCAATCGGCTTACTGCTGCGTGCCGGTCTCTGTGTTCCAAATTGTACACTATTTGTCGCGACCTAAGCCAACATCATGAAGCCAATTGCGCCAATTGCGAGCGGGAGACGCATTTGTACAGCTTCGTCCTCGCACATAGGCAGCACTTTGGTTTTATGTTATCCCATGTTGTAGGCAGTACCTCCACTTCAAGCAATGTCGATGTTCTGGTAGTACCTTAGCTTATGTAGTCCATTGTCGTATCATTGTCTTATGTGGCCCGCCGTCTTTGTGTTTAATGTTCCTAATGAACAATTCTTTTCCCTTTTCACTTCATGCCACGTCTCTTCAGTTTGTTCTCAAGATCTTGATCAATGTTTTATATCACCGATACCATCACTTGATCGTATCATCAACTGAACCTCAACGTTGTCAATCGGATTGAAGCAAACAGAGGTAACGTTGTTGAGCTGGGAGTAAAGAAGGTGAGACTCTCCCGGAGGCTCAACGACTTCGATCATGGTATTCAGGTCACCCAGTCTCTGGTAACACATGCCAATAAGCTTGTGGAGGATCAGGTGCCTGCGTTTGACGAGCTACGGGATGAATGTGATCACTTTCCCCCATTGGTGCAGGCTCATGCTTCGGTAGCCCAGCAGGCCTTGGAGGAAAACGTCGACCGTTTGGAGGATCGCCTTGCTGCTTTCGTCTTCATGTTTAAGAAGCTCATTGGTCTGGTGTGATCAATGTTTGTTGTTTTGTGGCTGTGGATGTCGTCGTCATCACATTTCCTTTCCTAGTCCAGTCGCTTTTTGTTTAGGATCGATGTACTTTCCTTCCCTGTTGATGTGAATACAACCAGTTCTTTTGATGTTTCTGTATCTACTTCCTTTTCCTGATCACTTAGTATTTTCAGCATCTCCCACATGGTCGGATGGTACCTCTTTAAATACTTCCCATTAATTGGCCTTGGCATATTTTTTTTCCATCTATATCCATTAATCGATAAGTATTGCCGGTTAAAATATATGTGACCAAGTAAAGACCTTCCCAATTAGAAGACCATTTGCCGAATTTCTCACGTCTATGTTTTTTGGTAATATGGTTTTCCATACCAAGTCACCAACGTCAAAGTGTTTTCGCTTCACATGTTTATTGGGAAAAATATCAAAAAAGTCATAAACCTATTGCATTTGTACCAATTCGGTTCTAAATCTTTCAATTGAACCAATTTAGTCCTAAATTTTTTCACATTGGTACCAACTCAGTCTATCCGGCCAATTTAGGCCGGAAATCATTGATGTGGACTCCGGCTATCCTACATGGCACAACCGGCGCTGACGTGGACATTTTAAAATAGTTTTTCGATTTTTTTTTATTATTTTGTTATTAATTTTTCTTTTCTTTATTTCTTCTCTTTTCTTTCTTTTCTTTTTTTTCTTTCCTTCCTCTTTCCTCCGCCAGTCACCAGCCTCTACGATGATCGGCAGAGGCCGACGAGGGCAAGGGCTGGGATGCCCTCGCCGGCCACAGGGGAGGCCAGCCCTTGGTGAGGGCTGGCGAGGATTGGACAAGGCCGCCCATGCCCTCGCTGAATCTGGCAAGGGCACCCTTGCCCAGCCCTCGCCAGAGGCCGGCGAAGGCCAAGACGCCCTCGCCCACCTTGTCGTCGCGAGGTCCCTCGCTAGATCCGGCGAGGAAACCCTTGCCCAGCCCTAGCCAGATCTGGCAGGGGTATGGGCGGCCTCGTCCAGCCCTCGCCAAGGGCCGGCCTCCCCTGTGGCTGGCAAGGGCGTCCCGGCACTAGCCCTTGCCAGCTGCCGGCGGCCTTCGCCGGTCATCGTGGAGGCTGGTGACTAGCAAACGGAAGAGGAAGGAAAGAAAAAAAAAAGAAAGAAAAGAGAAGAAATAACAATTACTTAAGTACCAAATCAGAGAAAAAACGATCATTTAAGTATCAATTCCGACCAAATTGATTACGTGGCATTTATAATTAAAATTTTTAATATGACATGGTAGGATTTAAAAAAAAAAATTCAATCCACGTGAACATCCAAAACGACGTTGCACAATCCGACTGGCACTGAAGTGATCATTTTTTAACAACGATGAGTACTGAAGTGATCACTTTAAATGAAAATTAGCATTCAAACAATCACTATTTACAACTTTTGGATGACATCATTAGGGGTTATATGCAGACTAGAAACGCCGGAGAGCCATGTAGGACTAAGAAATTAATAAAATATGATCATGTCGGATTTTTGGCAATTCATATTGAAGTTGACACTTAAGTGACCGTTTTTTTTAAATTGACACTTAAAGTGATCCGAAAAAAACTTTTGGCACTAAAATGAGCGCCCTACACAACTTTTGGCACTTCTAGTATCATTTTCCCCTAAATCGGTGTAGAATTTGCTCTTCTATGAACTCATTCACAATCTTTTGTGTAATATTTTTATAAGAGGATATTAAAGTAATCGATGGCAACCAAAATAAAACGATGCTTTTTTCATGAAGGAGGGTATATTTTGCCTATAACGACCATGGTTTAACAATAGATTTCAACACGAATGCTTAGACATGTTGAATGGGACCAGTCTTTGACAAGGTTCATAGCTCTTTGCATAATCAATGCAGTCTTGAGTCATGGTTGGCCAGAAATAACCATGGCAACGCAATAACAATTTCATTTTAATTCCAACCTGGTGTGCCCCACAAATCCCTTCGTGTATTTCTGACATGGTGACCATTGACTCATACTTGTTTAAGCACCTTATTAAAATTTCATTGACAGTTCTTTTATATAATTCGTCATCAAGTAATAGATATTTCATCACTAGTCTTTTGAAATTTTTATCGAAGGCAACGAGATTTCTCAGATACTCAACAAAGGGTTTTCTCCAATCCTCTTGGTTGATATATGTGCCTTGATCCTTATATAGATCGGTCACCATCACTATTGAAGACAATTTTTACTTTTGTGACGATAAACTTAGCCAATCTTTTGATATTTTATATCTATAGGCCATTTGAGCTTACTCGTTGGATTTCGTATTCTCATCTGTTTGATATAAACCAATTCGTAATCAAGAAGTTACTTGACAGCTTTTTCACCAAAGTATAATGGCGAATAATATTCTCATTAAGGCATTGATATTCTCCAGTTAATTGTTTGACAACTAATTAAGAATCTCCTTTTATTTTTCCAAAATGTACATTCATGTCAGTCAAGATATTTAGACCAACTATTAATGCCTCGTACTTCGCTTGATTGTTTGTGCAATCAAAATCGAGTTTGAACATGATATTGGTCTTATACTCCTTTGGCGACACTATTAATATTCCTATTCCTAAAAAAACTATTTGCATATGATCCATCGAACTACAAAGTCCATGGTAACATTTGTACCAATTTGGCAATACAGCCTTTGACGATTGGCTGAGTTAGCATATGCTTAATCACATCTGTTTTGCATATTACATGAACCGTAGTCGGCAACATGCAGTGACGTTTCATATTGCAAGTAAAGTACAAGGACAAACATAGCTTTTCAATTGGAGTACATCTCTTTTCTGCATCAGTCAACATTCGACTGAGGTACTAGACTACCTGCTCTTTGCCCTCATCATTCGCTTGTGCCAGTTTGCTTTCGATAGTCGTGTCTGTCATCAACAGATAAAGTTTTAAAGGCCTACTTGCTTTAGGTGGTATCAAAACTAGAGGATTAGACAAGTATTCTTTTATATGATCTGCATTTTGGTGCTCTTCTCTTTCCAAACAAAATCATCTTGATTCTTCAACTTAATTAGAGGAGAAAGCTTCTATCTTGTCAGACAAGTTAGCAATAAATTGATGTAAGAAGTTCATCTTACTTATGATCATTTGCAGTTGCTTTTTGTTCATCAGTGGTGGTAATTATAGATTAGCCTTAACTTTATTCTTATCTATTTCAATCCCTCTTTGGTCAATCAGGAATCCTGGAAAATTACCAGCCCTAACTCTACAAACCCATTTCAGTGGGTCATTTTCAATTTAAACTTCTTAAATCCCAATAAAAGCTTGTTTGAGATAGTTCAGATAACTTACCTGGTCTGATTTGACGATGATATCATCAATATAAACTTCCATGAATTCCCAAATCATGTTGTGGAAGATAAAGTTCATCGCTTTCTAATAAGTAGCTCATGCATTCTTCATACCAAATGACATCATTAACCACTCGAGCGTGTCAATAGCTCCAGGACATCTAAACGCAGTCTTGTGTATATCTTCTTTTGCTATAAATATCTGGTTATACCCCGAATGACCATCCATCAAGTTAAAGATCATTTTACTTGGTCCGATTTGACGATGGTATCGTCAATATAGACTTCCACGAATTCCCTAATCATGTCGTATTCGTGGAAGATAAAGTTCGTCGCTCTCTGGTAAGTAGCTCTAGCATTTTTTTTAGATCAAATGGCATCACTAACCATTCGAACATGCCAATAGCTCCAGGACATCTTAACGCAATCTTATGTACATCTTCTTCTGCTATAAAATATCTGATTGCACTTTTCGACAAAAAGAAAAATCGGTTACACTATAGTTACAGCATCAAGTCCCATAGCATATTTTTTTTCCTTTTCATCTGGGCCCTTCTACGCCCCATTTCATAATTCACCTAAAGATAATGACGACAATTGATTGGCTTAACCAAGGTCCATCATCGTGGAAATTACGCGGTTGCTTCCCTTTTTTTTTTTGGGGGGGGGGGGGAGGTTTTTCGAAATGTACCTTTTTAACTGAGCAACAACTTTTTTTTGTGAATTGACTGTAACTTGATCTTTAACTTTTAATTCACCAAATTCTTTTAGAAATAAAGATGGACAGTCTTTGCATGGAAAATTGATATGCACCTCAATTACTCTACTAGAAAAATGACACAAATGGTCATGAACCTTGACTCAACGTACAATATTATTCATAAATTTTTATTTTATTCAATACGATCCCTCAAATTTTGATACATATTCAATTTAGTTCTGAATCTATATGAAAATGTTCATTTTTATCCCTTAACTTGAATAAGTGAAAGGTTATTATTGGATATTTTCATATAGCTTGAGACTATATTAAATATTTAATAAAAATTTCGAGATCACCTTGAAAAAATTAAAAATTTATATACAACATTACACATTGGCTAAAATTCGAAAATCACATTGAACAAATTAAAAATTCGGAACGATATTGTAAATTGAGCTAAAGTTCATGAATTATCTATTTTATTTTCTATACTCTATTAAATAAGCAATCCTCCAACTAATAAAAGAATTTTAAAAAAAGGAATACTCTCTTTCCTTTGCCTCCTTGGTCTCTGGGATAAGTATTAAATATTCACTTTTACAGAAAAAAAAGAAGTTGAAGAATAAGTATGAAAAAGGATAAAAAATAAAAATAACACTACAGCGTTGGCCAATCAAATTGGAACAAGCCACGTCAACACTCTTCGTCAACCCTGGCGTCACTTCTTCCACATTGAAGCTTCGTCAAGCTCTTCACGAATCCATCCAAATCCTCGTCCGAGCTTCCTCCGTCGACCGCGTCCGCCGCCGCCTTGCTCAGCCTCTCGACCCGGCCCCTCTCCGGCCTCGTCCCGTCGAGCGACTCGGCCAGCGCCCGGGCCAGCCGGGCGGGGTCGGGCACCGCGTCGCCCGGGGCCTCGCACGCCCTGATCGCGACGCCCAGCTGGTCCACCAGCAGCTTCGCGTCCGTGTACTGGTCCGCGCCCATCGGCCACGTCAGCATCACCACCCCGGCGCCGATCGCCTCGAGCACCGAGTTCCAGCCGCAGTGCGTCAGGAACCCGCCCACGGCGCGGTGCCTCAGTATCGGCACCTGCGGGGCCCAACCCCGGATCACCAGCCCCCGCCCCGCCGCCCGGTTTTCGAACCCGTCCGGCAGGAGCCCGTGGCCGTCCCGCACCTGCCAGTCGGCGGTATCCCTCACGCACCACACGAAGTGGGCCCGGCTCATCTCCAGCGCGGCCGCCAGCGCCGCCATCTGGTCGTTCGCCAGCGCCGTGCGGCTCCCGAAGCACACGTACACGACGGAGCGCTCCTCCCTGCCGTCGAGCCACTTCAGCACCTCCTCGGCCGGGACCGAGCTGGACCCGCCCCGGCCGGCCGGGCTCACCGAGTCATCCACCGGCGGCAGGAGCGGTCCCACGGCCCAGACCCTGCCTGGCCCGAACTTCCCCTTCATGTGGTCGACGTAGACTCTCTCCAACTCCGTGAACGTGTTGAAAACGACGCCCCAGCTTCCCGCGTTTTCCAGCCAGCCCTGCCTGTAAAACTCCATGTCGGCGTCTCCATCCTTGTAGATCCTGAACAGGTGCGAGATCTGCCACCACCGGTACGTCGGCGAGTTCGGCACGTCGCGGAAGGTAACCGTGGAGTCATCATCGTCGCTGCTGCCGCCGTTCTTGGGTAGGTTTTGCCAGAGCGAGAACTCGATGGACACGGAGAAGGCGGCGGAGGGCGAGAACACGATGCGGGGGATGCCGAGCTCCGAGGCCAGGTGCCGGGTCCACCCGAGAAAGAAGTCGGACAAAATGGCGATCGGTGGCGAGGGGTGGGAACGGAACCACTCGAGGACCGCCGGGTAGTGGTGGTGGCGCATGGAGAGGATCTTGACGATGAGGCTGTTTTTGGTGCCACAGGGGATGTCGGGGGCCGGGATGACCAGCGGGTGGAAGAGGGAGGGGTGTTCGGAGAGGAGGGGGAGAAGGAGGTGTTGGTTGAAGGGGGTGACGAGGGCGGTCACGCGGACGCCGCGGCGGACGAGGCGGTCGGCGAGGTCGAGGAGGGGGATGATGTGGCCGGAGGAGATGAAGGGATAGACGAGCAGGTGCGGAGCGGCGGGGACATCGGCCGCGGCGACGGCGGCGGCGGCGGCGGGCATGTTGGTCGACGCGGAACAACTTCCGGTGTCAAATTGCCGAAATGCTATGATGGAAGAATATGTGAAGGCCTTGGTTTTGAATAATGAGAGGAGGAATGAAGACTTATATTTATACCATTATGTGTGTGCGTGGACGGTGGGACTCTAGCCACGATTTAATTGGGAATTGCTGGTTGGGACTCTCTTTCTCAACTTTTGTCTTCTCATTTTGAGTTCAGATTGGGTGGCGGTGCGTCACGCCTGACGACGGAGGTTCTGATGCTTCTTCGCATTTACGCAGAAAGCTCCAAACCAGATGTGTAGCTCTAGGGCCCCCACCATGACTTTCGACTTCTGCTTCCGCCAACGAAACTGGTCTCTGAATAGGCAGGCGTGCGATGCAAGCAAGCATGGCTCATCATTCCCAAAAAGGGGAGAAAAGGGCAGAAGAAAGAGGCGTGTGGGGGCAGGGTCCTGCCTGCTCCGGTCAATTTCGACCGACCTACCTAGGTTGAAATAGGTAGGTCTCAAATGCAGACCTGTGAAGGTTGAAGAACTGGACCAAGATCTGGACGGGCTATTTGGTGGATTCACTGAATTAACACGCTATTTTCAATTTTAATTTTTTAGAATCAATCCTTAAAAGTCACCCATCCGGATTATGCTTATCTCTAGTCACGATTGGGTTCGGAAATGTTTGACACTTCAAGAACAGAGTGACGCCATTTTCTAGAGTCGACTTTTAGGACGTGTCGCCTGTTCGAGTCGGCGTCGTCTGCCCTATGCCACCATTTATGATGTTCACGTGTGTGATAAAGGGAAAGGTGTTTGGGTGCTGCCCGAAGAAGAGAACGTCCTTGGATCATGCGGGATACCGAAAAATGTACCATTCTCAAACAGACTTTCCAGAAAGTCAGTTTCCGAAGTTTCGTTAAAATCTAAAATAAACTGGGAAAGTATTTTCAGTGTAAGGAAAATCTGATAGGAAAAATTATCAAAATATTCTTGATTTTTAATTATTTTTAATTATTTTTTTTATATATATTCTTTTCTTTTTCCATTTTCTTCTTCCTTGGTTTAAAATAATTAAAATTTTGATATTTTTAAAAATAAAAAAATAATTAAAATGCGAGTTTTCAAAAATTATATTTCCATAAAAACAAACTTTTCATTAACCAAGGACATGAGCCTGAGCACCGAGGACCCACGCATTGCTTTGTGGACCTGGGCCTAAGGGTTGGGACCAAAGCTCAAGTGTCAGGGACTCGAGCACGGCCTTTGTGGACTCAAGTTTGGGCGCCAGGGCATCGAGTATGGGCACCATGTGTTCAGGCCAGGCCTTGATGGACTCGGGCTTGGCTGCTAGAGACCTGGTCCTGAATGTCAAGATCTAGGAACCAACGTTAAGGTTTTCGTATCCAAGCGTAGAATTTCGTGTCTAAGCATCAATAGATAATCATATTCAGAAAATTTTTTTTGGTTTTTTTTAAAAAGGAAATCATTTTCTTGAAGTTAAGTTTTTGTAGGAAAACATTTTCCGTTAACTCATTTTCCTATACAAATCAAATACTGAAAAATGAGAAAAATATTTTTCACGAAACAAACGGATCTTAAAATGGTATTGCTAAGCGCAGTGCATGTCTTTCCATACAACTCTAGCTTGAAAACCCACTTTCACATCCTTATTCAGCATCAATCATGTAGGATTAGGCATTGGAGAAATTCTAACCAAAGTAAACTAAACAAAACCTACTCATACGCTTTAGTAGCCTTAGACTTACTTATCAAGAGAACTAGTCGGAAAATTTACTTTTGGTCTAGGTACTCTCACGTTTTTCAAATTGAGTCCTTGTACTTTTAATTTCTTTAATCTAGTCATTTTACTTGTACAATCTAACCACATCTCTCTGATAATGAACCTATGGAAATTCAATCGAAATAGCCGTTAGGTAACGTCGAAATGTCACATGGATAAGTTATGCCAACTTAAACGCTCATGTAGATACGACTGTAGAAAATAAAGAAATGAAGAAAAAAGAAAATAAAGGTCTTCTACTACTCATGATTGCTCTCTCAACAGGAAATTTGCCACGGCTAGGTGAGCTCAGGGCCGCTCAAGTTCAACATAAAGCTCGCCACCACTCAAGGTCATGACCGTTATTTGATCCTTGGACCTGAGTTCACGCAACCATGCAAGCTAAACTTGGCCATGGCCACGGTCACATCAGTCGTTGTCAGCTTGATTTGATCGGACTTTGTGTTGGGGGACTTACTTGATTAGACAACTTGCGGAAATAGAAGGATTTAAATTATAAACATAATGACTTGATTAGAAAAAACACAAGTGTACCAGGACAAAAAGTAAATATTTCCCAATCAAAAGTAAATTAATACCAAAAGATTGCAGCTTGCTCTGCACACCAAGTTGAGCAAAAACTTCCCTTCAACGGAACTTTGTGATGAAATGGGTCAGCCTGCAAATCCCACGCACGATGGACCAAACACCTACTCAACACATGGGCCCCGAGCTGGCTCTGTAAACATTGCATTCGACATCTTCGACCAGCTTGATACAGCTACCAAGCGCTTTTGGACCTAAGCCCATCTCTGCTTAATCCATCCCACACTGTAACGAAACCACTCAACTTGTAACACAAGAACCCACCAAGACAAAAACCCTTAACATCGACAATAGCTAAGCTGTCGTCTGTGCTGCAACGGGAGTTCTTTCTACCAAGTCACAGAGTGCGAGTTTTACGTTTTCCTCGTCAGTGCCAAGTTTTTTTTGTTGCTAAACAGTATTTATTGCTTCATTTCTGGTTAAAACAACACAAATTTGAAACTGGCTTGGCGTGGATCCATCTCTTTTCTCGACCCTTTGACCATGTTTAGCACGAAATGGAAAAGTGGCGAAGTGCACGTAAGTCCATTGATCCCTCAACTAGAAAGAAATTACAGCAGAAGCCATTATGTCAGTAGTTATACTGTAGTCTATCGTAAGTGAAAACAAAAACACTTGCTAATTTTTTTACCGCTAAAAACCCCAAACTAGTACACCTGTAACAAATTTACTCTCCGTTAGTTTCCGTTAAATTTTACTGTCAAATTGCTAAGTTTGATGACACGTGGTAGTTGACGGGTGTATCAGTTTGGGGTTTTACCCCTTTATTTGTCACAAGTTTACCAATTTGTGGTTTTTCATGATATTAATCCAATTTAACGGACATTAACGGAGGGTAAATTTGTCACAAATGTACCAATTTGGGGTTTTTAGTAGTTTAAAAATTAGTTTTGGGTAAAATTATCACAGATGTACCAGTTTGGGGTTTTTGGTGGTCAAAAAATTAGTTCGGGATAAAATTATCACAAGTGTACCAGTGTGGGGTTTTTGGTGGTCAAAAAAATAGTTCAGGGTAAATTTATCACAGGTATACCAGTTTGGGGTTTTTGATGGTCAAAAAATTAGTTCGGGGTAAAAGTATCACAACTGTACCAGTTTGGGGTTTTTCGTGATATTAATCCTAAGTACGAAAAAGGAAAAAAAAGAGGGAAAATGACACAAATAATCTCTGAACTTTAGTCCAATGTGTAATCTCGTCCCCGAACTTTCAGTTTGTCCAAAATGGTCTTTGAACTATGGGTAAATGTTCAATCTAATCCTTCGGTTTGTTCAAACCGTTAACTGATGACGTGGACCGTTAACTGATGATGTGGAGCTGAGTTGGATTACTAAATAAGGGTTAATACTATGAAAAACCCCAAACTGGTACACTTGTGACAATTTTACCCTGAATTAATTTTTTGACTATCAAAAATCCCAAACTGGTACACCTGTGATAAATTTACCCCGAACTAATTTTTTGATCACCAAAAATCCCCAACTGGTACTCTTGTGACAATTTTACCCCAAACTAATTTTTTTACCACGAAAAATCCCAAACTGATACGCATGTGACAAATTAACCCAGAACTAATTTTTTTACCACAAAAAATCCTGAATTGGTACACTTATGACAAATTTACCCTTCGTTAAATTGAATTAATATCACGAAAAATCAAATTCGTAAATTTGTGACAAACAGAGGAGTAAAACCCCAAACTAGTATACCCGTCAACTACCACATGTCATCAAACTCAGTAATTTGAAGGTAAAATTTAATGGAAACTAACAGAAGGTAAATTTGTCACATGTGTACCAGTTTGAGGTTTTTGGTGGTCAAAAAATTTGTTTGGGGTAAAATTGTCACAAGTGTATCAGTTTGGGGATTTTTGTGATCAAAAAATTAGTTTGAGATAAGATTATCACAAGTGTACCAGTTTGGGGTTTTTCGTGATATTAACCCACTAAATAATGATTCGGCAAGTATTTTACAAAAGAAAAACAAATTAGGGCTTCAAATAACCCTCTTCTTCCTCCTCCTCAACGATTCTTCTTCCTCTCAACATTAGACTTCTCAAATGCATGGATCGATACTGAAACGAAAAGAGTTGGGTTGAGGTCGATCCCGACAACGATTTGAATCTTGGGGTCTTGGAGGGCGCGCCACTGCCTGTGCATGATCCGCTCAATCAGAAATCAAAATGAGGGAAAGAAGTGAGAACTATGTGAGCATCGAGGAATTGAAATCTTGGAAGAGCTCGTGTTCTGTATAGCTTGAACGCAAGTTTGTGTTTGGTATGCCTTTTTGGTTCTGGAATTTTGCTTCTTCTTTTTTGTGGGTTAAAGGACTTGCTTCTTCTTTTTTTGGGCCGAAGGACTTGCTTCTTCTTTTTTTCGTGGGTTGAAGGATTTGCTTCTTCTTTTTTTGTGGGTTGAAGGACTTGCTTATTAGAAGCAAAAAAATTGACTGACCAAAATTTCAGAAACAAAAAAGCAAGAAGGAGTACAATAGTCGAAGAAAGAAAAAGAACAAAAAGTGGAGATGAAGACTCAATTTGACACCTGAAGCTGTGCGTAGTGATTTGGCACCGAGCAGTAGTGTCACTAGAGGAGAAGGAAAAAAAGGGGGCTTTGACCATATCAGCGCAAAGGAGCAAAAGGAGATGATTTCTGAATTCAATTCACAATTCTTCCCTCTATCAACTTCTCTTCTGTGATCTAGTCTATCACAATCTCTTTCCAATCCAACACCGATCGAGCTCACATGGTCAGATATGTTAACAGCAAACATAAAGCGAGGAGGAGACATTAGCATTTGGTGATCTTGATTTGTTGCAATAGAAAAATGTTTTTTAGAAATGAAAATGTTAAACTCATTCACTGTTCGTGTTTGCAATGAAAATTGGTGGTCTTAGAACAAAAATTTGTCGATGTTGTGAGGAAAGAAAATCCATATCTACCTCTGAACAAATCTGGTTTGTTATTGTTGACAAAGCCTTATCAATATGATCTTACACCTGTAAAAGTTGAAAGACAGAATTGGGAGATATGCAAATGACATGCATATGGCTATCACACCATTTGAGAGATAAAGACTGAAATTGCCTTCAATTAGACCTCTTTTTGGTAATTGAGACCCATTATACTAAAGTGGCAACGATCAAACGCAACAAAATTTTTACAAACAAACGAGTCCCGTAAGCTAACTATTCAAGAGTGTTAAATGTACTCTTTAACATTCACAAAGTAGACGAGAAAAAGGCCAACTGCACTTTTCAAATATTGACTATACTACTTAAAGCAAAAATTTCTTGCCCATAATGCTTGTGCTCTATACAGCATCATTGCCACATCTTAAACACTTCCAAAACTACAAAAAAAAAGGCAATCTCTATCTCTTGATCTTAAATTCGAGAGTATCATATCAACAAAAAGTACAAGTACTAATCCTACTTCCAACTCTTCAAACATCTACTTCTGGTAAATTTTCTTGGTATATTTTCCTCTTTCTTGGAGACCTTGTTGATCCAACACTTCCATTATCGTTCAAATGCTCCACGGCTTGTTTCCAATCTTCTTGTTTCCTTTTCATAATGTTCGCCTTTGGCCGCTAGACAAAAGAAAAGCATCAATCAATCAAATGTGAAATGTTTACATAACAAGTTTACTACCATAAAGTTACACCTGTAATCTCATTGCAGTGATAAATTTGCGAGATGCGCTCTCTACCTTCTTAGCATTATCCACATCATGGTTGGTATTTCTTAATAGCGAAATGGCTCGACTACCTTCCAGTCCAGGCTATTAAGAACCATAATACTCTAGTTAAAATGGCACTTACAATTATTCAAGAGCATGATCACTTACTTAAAAGTAAGGTTAAGAGTACCTTTTGAGTGGTGGCACTATTATGATGCATCTCCACGACAAGTGAGTTGGCTTCTCTCTGTCCGACTATCTCTTCATCCTGTTCATTAAGAAAATGAAGTTAAAAATATTGATACAAACAAAGACTAGAGACATAGAATGAATAAACCTTACCTTTTCTTTTTGTTTCATTGGACAACTACTTAAGTAGTGGCCTCGCTTGAAGCACAAATGGCATGTGATTTTTGTGCCTTGTCTTGACACTTTGAATCCATTTTTAAATTCTCCTTCCTCTCTTATCCTTTTCTGTTTAGGCCAACCAGGCATAACCCGAGGCATTGGTGCCACCAAAGGTTCTCTATCACTAGAAGACCGCATGTTATCGCCATTCATTGCTTCCAAGTAGTGACTGTATGTCTTTAAATAGGTATCCTTCTTATACCAGTGCGCAACAAATGTTTCTATCTCCTCTCCTTTGAATAGTATGACACAGATTGCATGAGGGCATGGAATCCCACTGAAGTCCCATGCCCTGCAAGAACAAGAGTTGTTTCTTATGTCCACTACAAATTTGTCGTTCCTATGGCGCACTTCAAATCCATCTTATCCATTCCAAAGCACATGACGAAAGGCACTTTCTTTTTTATTGCCTTCTATCTTCTCTAATATCCTTGGCGCAATGTCCCTTTTCCATCTTTGACATGCATCTCTTTTTTCACGCATTCTTATCACTATCTTCTCTCTAATATCCTCAAGCATAGATATGATAGACCAGTGTCTAGCTTCTAGTATCGATCCAGTAAATGCTTTTGACAAGTTATTGTCCACAATATCTAACTTGCATATAGTTTTGAAGTGAGCCTTGCACCAATATTTTGGAGCAATCCTCATCAAATCAGCCTTTCCTGTCTTGCTCATCTTATCCAATTCCTTGAGGTGTTTTTCAAATTGCTAGATTGTAGTTGACTTTGCACACATCCAGAATTGCATGCGACAATTGTTTCCCCCATTCTTCTTGCGCCAATTTGCATAGATATGTCTTGCACATCGTCGGTGCTCAACCGATGACATCTCCTCCTCTAGTACCTGCACAAGCCCTACAGCACAATACATGATATCATCATATATATAATGAGGTAACAATATGGCACACATGGAAAATTCAAAATGAAGGAAGATTAATCACATTACCTTCTACTGATATGAGATTACTGTGTATCCTACACCATCCTTTGTGCCAAGATCATTCTTCAAGGCCTCTACAAACCAGCCCCATGAATCCTTATTCTCGACCTCAACAACGGCCATGCGATATGGTACATTTGATTATTTGCATCCCTCCTCACAACTGTCAATAACTCACCCTTCAACGTTCCTTTTAAGAAACATTCATCCAACTCTATCAAAAGTCTGCAACCTTCAAAGAATCCCTAAACATAAAATCGTTGGAAGATGGGTCTTGAATTTGGTGATTCTCTTATAAACTTTACCTTCATAGTATTTCGAGGATTTCTGTGAATAATTTCTTCATAATAATTCCACAAACTATTGAACTCATAGGAGTACATCCCGTTTAGTTTTTCGATTACTCTTCACTTAGTCCTTCTACACTGGCTTATAGTGACATCTAAGTTCATTTGCTCTCGCACAATTTTCTTGAACTCTTGCAACTTCATTGAAGGAGTTGCCCTCCACAAGCTTAGATAATGCTTCACCATATACGTAGATGTAAACCTCCTCACTTGAAAAGACCAAGAGCATGTGTGCTCATCCTTGAAAGTTTTCACTGTAAACAAGCCTGTCTTATTATCTCTAGCTGCATAAATTAACCAGTTACAATTTTTAGCTTTACATTTGGCCCTACCTCTCACCTTGTCATTCTTGATAAAATCAATATTAACTCTTTTGGTGGCTGCATATTTGTTGATAGCTTCTTTAAACTGCTTAGGGCCATCAAATACCATATTCAGTGCAAAGTGAAGTATCTCTGTGGTTTCATCATACTACGCATGTGTGCTTTTCCTTCTAACAGCCTCCTCTATCTCTAGTTCTTCTTCATCACTCGTGACAAAGCTACAATTAGAGTCACTTGAGTCAAAGCATTCAGTCTTAAGCTCAACATTATCTTCACAATGGGTTGTTATAGCCTCTTTCCTCCCCCCATCTTCGTTCTACTTCAACATCTATTTCACTAGGTATCTCCAGCAACCTAGCAGCTCTATATGCATTGTCTCCCTTAAAAGTTTTAATTTTTCCCCTAGCCACTTGAAGTTCTTCTTCTTCATTGTCAAATAACCATGGGACCTCAACAAGTCATCATCCTCTTCAATTTCATGATTTTGCCCATCAATAGGCATTAAAACTCCATCATCTTCTTCTACATTCATTAATCCCCCCACTAACCCATCACCAATGCCAACACTCACGTCTTCACCATGTTCAATAAGTATCTCACATGTACCGCCAATATTTGCCCAAAGTCCCATCATTTCCTATACTGAAATGCCATCTTCAATTAATCTTAGATCATTCTCAAAATTCTTACACGGCATTAAATAGTGGAATTTCTCAATATTAGAGTAACCCATATCTTGTACCAAGTGCAAAATCTCCAACTAGCTTAGCTTGTCTAGATCTTAAAGGGCCTAATTCCAAAAAAAAAAAACACCAACTTTAGGTCAAGAAACAATTTTGGCTCGAACTTTTTTTGTCCCATAAAAAAGCACTAACTTTAGGTTGAGGGACAATTCTGGCCTGAACTTTTTTTTGTCCCGTAAAAAGGTACTAACTTTAGGTTAAGTGACAATTCTAGCTTCAATATTTTTTTGTCTCATAAAAAATTACCAACTTTCACCCTGATTCCAAATCTGGCCCCTGTTGACTTTTTATCTAAAGTCACCATTGTTTGAGAAAAAATGTTATGGTGGTGAGCTTGGCGAATCTCGTCCATGACGTCTGTCGACAGGCGGTGGTCAGCTTCAGATTACGTTTGGCTAGAGAGATTCAATTTGGAGATATTTTTGACTTGCCGGTGAAGTGAAGGAGACGAATAGTTTCACCGTTATTTTTCAAATTGTGGCTCAGAGAATAAGACAATAAATATTGCTTTAAATCCAGTTAGAAAATCACGTGGATTTATTGCTAAGTTGGAATAGTTAAGTTAGATAATCAATGATTCTAAGTCAATGGGGGCCAGATTTGGGATTTAAGTGAAAGTTGGTGCTTTTTTACTAGACAAAAAAAAGTTGAGGTCAGAATTGTCACTTGACCTAAAGTTTGTGCTTTTTTACGGGACAAAAAAAAGTTCAGGCCAGAATTATCTTTCGACCTAAAGTTGGTGCTTTTTTTTTAATTAACCCAATCTTAAAGCCACTCTCTACTATGACCATCAACATACTCTACTATTCTATCATGAACAAACCTACCTCCAACCCATAGAGTAAATAGAAATGTTTCATTAGCCATGTAAATTTGTACAAAGATAAACATAAAAATCAGCTAAACTAAAAAAGATAAAGGACACCAGTCAATCTATTTCTATTGTTTATACAATATAAACAAATAAACACCAAAAGTATAATCTAAAGACAAGAAAACAAACACAAATGAGGGCCATGTCTAAAAAGCCATGAAAAAGCTACAACCTAAAACTACAATAAGCTGGGGCCACATTATAACAAAACTTACTGTGCCCTCGATATTGTTTTAATACTCTCATAGGGAATTGCAAAGCACAACATGCACAAATAAAATATTCCCACTTTACGTCATGACTATGCTTCGATCGAGTAAGATAAATCGTGCATTATCATCTTTGAGAAAGCCTTGATTAACCCATTTTCAAGAAAGCCCTAATTAACCCTAAACAAATGCCATGGAGGAGCCTGTAGGACACGTCGTCCATGTAAAACTCCCACGTGTACAAACCCGAGTCTTCATTGGAAGCATTACGCACGAGACAACACACCGGGCACAGAGTAATGTCTTTGGTGTGACAAGATAGAGCTGCCATTCAAAGCAAGCTCAAGTCTTGAACCCTAAATCCACATATATGCCCTGAAAAAATAATCTCGATACTTACTCCTAATAGAGATTGTAAGGCTTACCTCCTCCTCCTTCTTCTTCTTTCTTCGTGTCTTGATTCAGCATTTTGGTACCGGCCGGAGTATGAGAGCTTCGATTGTAGAAACAGAGAAGCAAAAGATCGGCCTTTATATTTTCCTTTTTTGGTCTGTGGCCCAGTTGAGTTGTTTTAAAATTAATTTCCATGTGGATTTTTCTTCTCTTAATCTGATATAAATAACTTATGTGGATATCCCAAGAGTCTTTTTTTTTCCTTAAGGAACTAAAATTCACTTCATCAAACTCCGTTAATTTTACTTAACGGAAGAACGACATTGAATATTTCAGATATCATTTATATTATTTTTCAAAAAATAAAAGTAAAACTATAGCGTTAGCCATCAAATTAGAACAAGCCATCAACACTCTCCGTCAACCCCCGCGTCACTTCTTCCACATTGAAGCTCCATCAAGCTCTTCACGAATCCATCCAAATCCTTGTCTGAGCTTCCTCCGGCGACTGCGTCTGCCGCAGCCTTGCTCAGCTTCCCGATCCGGCCTCTCTCCGGCCTCGTCCCGTTGAGCGACTCGGCCAGCGCCTGGGCCAGCCGGGCGGGGTCGGGCACCGCATCGCGCGGGGCCTCGCACGCCCTGATCGCGACGCCCAGTTGGTCCACCAGCAGCTTCGCGTCCGTGTACTGGTCCCCGCCCATCGGCCACGTCAGCATCACCACCCCGGCGCCGATCGCCTCGAGCACTGAGTTCCAGCCGCAGTGCGTCAGGAACCCGCCCACGGCGTGGTGCCTCAGTATCAGCACCTGCGGTGCCCACCCACGGATCACCAGCCCCCGCCCCGCCGCGCGGCTTTCGAACCCGTCCGGCAGGAGCCCGTGGCCGTCCAGCACCTGCCCGTCGGCGGTATCCCTCACGCACCATACGAAGTGGACCCGGCTCATCTCCAGCGCAGCCGCCAGCGCCGCCATCTGGTCGTTCGCCAGCGCCGTGCGGCTCCCGAAGCACACGTACACGACGGAGCGCTCCTCCCTGCCGTCGAGCCACTTCAGCACCTCCTCGGCCGGGACCGAGCTGGACCCGCCCCGGCCGGCCGGGCTCACCGAGTCATCCACCGGCGGCAGGAGCGGTCCCACGGCCCAGACCCTGCCTGGCCCGAACTTCCCCTTCATGTGGTCGACGTAGACTCCTTCCAACTCCGTCAACGTGTTGAAAACGACGCCCCAGCTCCCCGCGTTTTCCAGCCAGACCTGCCTGTGAAACTCCGTGTCGGCGTCTCCATCCTTGTACATCCTGAACAGGCGCGAGATCTGCCACCACCGGTACGTCGGCGAGTTCGGCACGTCGTGGAAGGTCACCGTGGAGTCATCATCGTCGCTGCCGCCGTCGTTCTTGGGTAGGTTTTGCCAGAGCGAGAACTCGATGGACACGGAGAAGGCGGCGGAGGGCGAGAACACGATGCGGGGGATGCCGAGCTCCGAGGCCAGGTGCCGGGTCCACCCGAGAAAGAAGTCGGACAAGATGGCGATCGGCGGCGAGGGGTGGGAACGGAACCACTCGAGGACCGCCGGGTAGTGGTGGTGGCGCATGGAGAGGATCTTGACGATGAGGATGTTTTTGGAGCCACAGGGGATGTCGGGGACCGGGATGACAAGTGGGTGGAAGAGGGAGGGGTGTTCGGAGAGGAGGGGGAGAAGGAGGTGATGGTTGAAGGGGGTGACGAGGGCGGTCACGCGGACGCCGCGGCGGACGAGGCGGTCGGCGAGGTCGAGGAGGGGGATGATGTGACCGGAGGAGATGAAGGGATAGACGAGCAGGTGCGGAGCGGCGTAGACATCGGCCGCGGCGGCGGCGGGGGCGGGGGCGGGCATGTTGGTCGACGCGGATCAACTTCTAGAGTCAAATTGCCGAAATGCTATGATGGAAGAATATATGAAGGCCTTGGGTTTGAATAATGAGAGGAGGAATGAAGACTTAGATTTATACCATTATGTGTGTGCGTGGACAGTGGGACTCTAGCCACGATTTAATTGGGAATTGCTGGTTGGGCCTCTCTTTCTCAACTTTTGTCTTCTCATTTTGAGTTCAGATCGGGTGGCGGTGCGTCACGCCTGACGACGGAGGTTCTGATGCTTCTCCGCATTTGCGCAGAAAGCTCCAAACCAGATGTGTAGCTGTAGGGCCCCCACCATGACTTTCGACTTCTGGGTCCGCCAACGAAACTGGTCTCTGAATAGGCAGGCGTGCAATGAAAGCAAGCAAGCATGGCTCATCATCCCCAAAAAGGGCAGAACAGGAAAGAAGAAAAAGGCGTGTGGGGGCAGGGTCCTGCCTGCTCCGTTCAATTTCGGCGTTGGGTTTCGGGTCCAACCGAGACGACCCGTTTTGTCCTAGGTTGAAAATAGTTAGGTCTCAAATGCGGACCTGTGAAGGTTGAAGAACTGGACCAAGATCCGGATCCGCTCTTTGGTGGGTCCATGAAATCAACATGCTATTCTCGATTTTAATTTTTCGGAACCGGTTCTTGAAAACCGTCCATCTGGACTGTGCTCATCCCTAGTCTTGATCGGGTTCGGGAATGTTTGACACTTGAGGAACAGAGCGACTCCATTTTCTAGCGTCAACTTTTAGGACGCGTTGCCTGTTCGAGTCGGCGTCGTCTTGCCCTACGCCCTACGCCACCATTTATGATGTTCACGTGTGTGGTGAAGGGAGAGGTGTTTGGGTGCTGTCTGAAGCAGAAACGTCCTTGGATCATGCGGGATACCACTGCATTCGAAGGTGCATTCAAAGTAGGGTTTAATGCACTAAGAATGACTTGGTTCTCTGGCAAAGGTGTGTTCTTATCGATTCGTCTTGCACGAGGAAGAGCGAAACCTAATTCTATCAAATTACAGGTTGATGTGTTATCGTTGTGCTAGTTCGATTCGGTTTGAATTTGAGATCGAATTGAACTACGGGTTCGTTTTTTTCGCAAAAAATATACTATTCTCAAATAGACTTTCCAGAAAGTCATTTTCCGAAGTTTTGTTAAAATCTAAAATAAACTGGGAAAGTATTTTCGGTGTAAGGAAAATCTGATAGGGAAAATTATCAAAATATTCTTAGTTTTTAATTATCTTTAATTATTATTTTTATTATATATATTTTTTCTTTTCTTTTTCCTTTTTCTTCTTCCTTGGTCTATCGCTAGCCACGGCGATGGGGTCGACGACTGGCCATAGGCGAGCGCAAGCCTCGCCCAAGGCCGGTGAGGCTCGAGGCTTGCTTGCCCCAGGCAAGCTCATTGGCCTCAGGCGAGCTCAAGGCTGGTTGCTCGCTCGATTTGGTGAGGCCCGAGCTCGCCGGCTGTCGCCATGGTCGGTGACTGGCCGAGGAAGAAACAAAATAAAATTTTAAAATTGTTGAGGAAAACTCCTATTTTGAAGTTGACAAAACCTTTCACATAATTATAAGTCTGATACTTATTCTGAACTAATTTATTCCAGGTATTTATATTATGGAAACTCATAAGGAAGTTATTCAGACTTTACAAGCTGTCAAGTATGTTTTTGAAGACCCA